TAAGTATTTAAGTTGTAGCCTTCAGATGTCCAACAATTATACATTTCATTTCTTCCTTTATCATCTCTCTTACAGCATAATAAATGAATCATCTGTTATACAGTATATCATTGATGTTCAACAACTATATAAACACAAAAATATTTTTTTACCATTTTACACACTGGGAAGTGTTAATAAGAAACTGAACTTTAATAATATTCCTAACATGGATTAAGTTACATATAACGTATCTGTTGGGCACTGGGCACTGTGAGACTGAAGTTTGAAAATGAGGCTGCTTGAGTGATGAAAGGTCACACAGTGACAGGAAACATGTTCGGAAACAGCAAACTGGTTTATCACAGTAACTTGTTTTGATGCGTAGTTTTACTGGCACAACTCCAACTATTTCTCAAACAGGTGTGAAAGACTCCATTGCTTAGATTCAGAAACGTTTGGGACTTTCAGTTTTTATCAAGGTCGACCKCACCCAGATGCAAAGCATAACATCTACTGTACATCCCATTTAGGGTGTGTGCTGGAATAATCATACAGTATAACTACGTGGCTGCTCATTCCTGTTCACACTGCCTTGACCTGTTCCTAGTCTGTATCTCTTTGATAACTGTCACATTTGTATAATCTGTTCTCATGATTCTTAAAGACGCCATTTGATGTCTACGGACCTTGCTCTCATTTCATATTGCCTGTAATCCTATTATTATATATATATATATATATATATACATACAGTATATATACTTTTCTTTTTTTTTATCAAATTTATTGTTTTAATGTAAGTCTACTTTTTTAACTTTGCTCAGGGAACATGCAATTTCGTTGTACTTGTTACAATGACTATAAAGGCGACTGATTGGTCATTCGATACAGTTGTCTAACCTGCAATATTGTGAAAAACATCATATTATATCAACACTGTGACGCACTATGGTGTTTATGAAAAAAACCTCTGCATAGATCAAGTTTATTAGCCAGAGGAGTAAGTGAGTTTAAGGGGGCCCGACGAATCCAGTCCCCAGATCAGCGCAGCCATTGTCCAGAAATCTTGATGGAAAATTGTTCATTTCTGTGCAGCTTTCAGCCTTCCTGGAAACACAGATTAGACAGGTGAAAGGAGGGGGAAGAGCATCTGTCGACACATCCAGCCAGGAAGAATTCAGTCAACAGATCCAAGGCCATTGCCGGGGAGATCCAGATTCTGTAATCAGTTGTTTGGGAACAGAGAGAGTCAAGCAGATGACAACAATTTCCCATCTGCTTTAGAGTTTCTGCTGGTACTCCCAAGGCTGGCGATCCCAATCAGGCAAAATGGTGTGGACAAAATTCCGCCGAGCTGAATCTATCAGATTCCTCCAAGATGAATTCCATCTGGCCAACAAAGTCCAGGGACCCCAGCCTGCCCGCGACTCTCAATAAAATCGCTAGCAGACAGAGTCCAGCTCGCTCAAGGCAAAATGTCCGAGTTCTAACAGAATACGGTCAGCCAGGAGATGAACAGCCACCGACACTGATTTGCAGAACACCAGGAGACCACCCAACCAATCTGTAGAATCCGGTGATCGAAGTCCAGACATAAATCCAGAACAGAGAAGAACAGAGGTCCCACCTTTGACATGTCCTCCCATGGAAGAAGAAAAAACTTTGTTCCAAGAATTTTATTGAATTTTATTGAGAGACCAGCCAAACAAATCCATAAAAATAAAAATATCCATGATTTCTTATTTCGGATGAAAAATGTAGAGAAGGCTCCAGCAGCAAAACAGGGAAAAATAAGGAAGGGCAGGAGAGAAGGAAAAAGTGTCTTACTCCTCCGAGAGTGGGGGGAAAAAATCTTGTTTTAAGCCTGCATATACAGTAATTTCCTTGTATGGTACTGAAGCTGAACTGCTGAGCTTTGCAACTGGAACAAACAGACATGTTTCCACTTAAGCTTTGGATCTTATCACAGTTTCGTACCAATCCAGACACTAAAATAACAATCTATTTATTTAAAAATATTGAGTCTTGTTTTGTTTTTCAAGATAAGTAATGTTTTTTTATTAATCTAATAAATAACTTCTGCTACTCCTTTAATTATTGTAAACACCCACTACTTTGTTTTGTGAGTGAAGAATTGAGTATATTTTGCATCAACTGCCTTGGATGCCTAATTTTTTGCTCATAGCACTGTTTTAAAGAATAGGAACAATAAATAGGCTCATGTTGTTCTATAGATTGATTTGCATTAAAAATATTTAAATGTTTTTTTCCCTTAGGAATACAAAGTTCCCTTACTTCCCTATGTTGTTACCTTAAAAAGATGACATCATCAGCAGCACATTAGGGTTGGACTGTAAAGGGTTACAGGTAATTATAAAAAAGAATGACTGTAGTTAACATAAATTTGCATGCCACCATATTTGCCTGATGTGACACTAGGGGTACAGGTGKTACCCATGGCTGAAAGCTATAAGCAGAGGTGTCATCACAGGGAAGATGACAGGAACAGGCGCCGCATGAATGTAATTAAAGCTTATCTGTAGTTTTGTTTTGTTTTCCTGCACCAACCGGTTAGGAAACTTAAAACAATGTCAGGCAAGGGCAACTATTGGTTATGCAAGTACCCCAGCTGAGTGTCCCAGTTTTGGAAAAGGGAACAAACTGTGCCTGCTGGATGAGATGATCTGGTCAAACTTGATTCTGATTACTTAGTCACAAAAAAGTATATTGTATTACAAAAAAATCTGATACAGCACAGGAAGATATTTGTGACTATAAAAGAGAGACAAACACACAGCTAACTTATTGAATGGGAAGGTCCTCTCTCCAAGTCTGCTCTGGTTTTCACAGGTAAAATCCTTTTTAAAAATGACTATATAAAATGTCAACTATAAACACAGCGGCGAAACTGTAAACGCAGAAGCCGCACAGCTCAGTGCGTGCACACTCCAGCCGGCGGACCAAAGCAAAAGTATATCTCGGGCTTTGCAATGCTGTTACTTCAAGGATGACTCAGCCCTTTGTGAACACTAGGGATAATCTGGTTCCTACCAATTGATTCACATTTTGCTTCCAATGTACCAACACAATGATGTGTAAAAAATGTAACACACCATAAGTAAAACAGAGTTTAATTTTAAAAAAATTCACACCGTATGATGTTACAGTGGAAATTGCTCACTWTTACTTCAAAATAAAATTGATGTTCCAAATTTCAGACAGAATTTTTTCATACGGATTATAAAAATTAAACAATCAACAGTATTCTTTTCTTTTTGTCTAATAATAAATCAGACATTTCCTGCTTTAGGTCAGTTATGTTTCCCAAATTATTTGTTAAAGCCTGAATAAAGTTACAGATCCTTTTTTATGATTTTTTTTTATCACCATCTTCAATGTTGTCAGTTTTATAAATGTTTGATATTTTGGAAAAGCCCAAAAGATGATGTCCTGGCATTGGAATCTTTTAATTGGTTAATTGACACCTGTAAATGTGTTGTATTTTAGGGCACACCTTATTCTTTGTGTGATGTAAGAAAATCAAAACAAABCATTCAGGTTATGAGGAAGGAAATTGTTGACCTTTACAACTGAAGCTCCAACACAATCTGTTGGACACCAGAACGCTTGTCGATCAGCTTCAACTGCTACATCATCTTTGAGCTGGAGTTTATCAAATTTACAGTTACAGACATTTTTGTGGTAGAGAACGTGAATTTTCAGCGACGGCCATTTTGATTTGGGTTGACTTCAAATATATATATTTTTGGCAGAAGTCAATAAAAATGTTTTGTGTGTGTTCTGTACTTTTTGTCCTACTTTTCCACAATGGTGTCAACGACAGCAGTGTCATACTTCCAAAATGTTGCTTTATTTACACAATTTAGTCTCATTACACTTGTCTCATGCATAAATAAATCACTAAAATAAATTACATTAAAGGGGACATATGAAAAATGCACCTTTTGTCCAAAAAATTGACTTTCTTGTGTACTTAGGAGTGCAGAAAGTTTGAATTTAGTCTGTCATTGTGCTGTGTAGATRTGTATATTCTGTTTGGGGCGTATATGTTTCAACTCAGTCAGTTTTCTCTTTTTTCTATGATGTTTTCTGAACTTTTATGTCACAGTTTTTGCAACAGAAATGCCAAATCAGGTCTAAACTGGAATTAAGATAGAAGCTATTTGGACAAACAGAAGGACAAGAGCTGTTTCTCTTGACACAAGCTCTGAAGCCATTTGTCTTCAGCTCTTCTTCTTCATCCATAGAGTTTCTTTACTTGGTCATCACATGAACACTGACTTTGTAGATAGTTAGGAGGACGTAATGTTCCTTTATGTTGTTGTTTATCAAGACAACTTGTAGTGATAATCATGAAGTCAGTATAGAAGCTGAAGMTGTCAAGTTTATGTATTCAGAGTTTAACAGAGGAACTTAATGCTACACTTTGCACATTTTTACTTGACATGTAAAACCACATGCATTGGTTGCCCAAATTTTGCCTCAYAAGTCCTCAAAAATATTGCGTAATTAGATTGCTCAGAAAACTTGTTTTCTTTTKAATGCTTTAAACGATCTAAAAATATTTGACATTTTTTGTCTTCCAACAGATGATTATATAAGCAAAACATTCAACTCAGTTCTACAATTAAGTTTTACTTTCCCTAAGCTAAAACTGTTCACATCTTCAACATAACAGGGTCTAGAGGTGAAGGGTGAAGTGCTAATAAGAAACTAGACCGGAGCTATCCAAGGGGTGGCCCATGGGCCACATCAGGCCCTCGGTGACTTCTATCTGGCTGGCTGACGACTTTTTTGAAAACCATTTTTTAAACTTAATTTATATCAAAAAAGATTTAAATTCATTTGTAAACCTAAAATGTATGTTTCAATGCAACAAAATACATTTTAAAAAACAACTCAAGTTACATTTTCCTGTCTTTTTTTTTTTTTTTGTCTGTTTTCTTTGCAGCTCTTCGGTAAGGTTGCTTTTTCTTTGCAGCAATTGGGTACAAGACAATAAAAAAACATTTGCATATGTGGCAGCTGCTATATGCAAATATTTGTTTAACCAGTCCTGTTACCCAGATTCTTGAAATGCAAAGACGCAAACTTACTGGAGGATCTGGTCTCGTCAGGTCAGATTCAAATATTTTAGTCTGACAGAATTTTCTTTTATGTTCATAACAATGTAATTACAGTCATATTTTCTACTATAAAAGGCAGACAAGCGTACACTCGACTTATTGGACTGAAGAGTTTTCTTACCGAGGCCTCTCTGGTTTTCACAGGTAGAGCTCTTTGTCTTTAAACCTTTTAAAAAATAACAAAAATATTAAAACTCTAAAAGAGCTAACATATTGATGTATTACATATGACACAAAACTTTTAAAAACTCCAGTCTTCTAACATTGTCTTTTCGTTTGTTTGCAGCTTTTGAAAACTGACATCCATTTTCTGTCATTATGATCAAACAGGTAAAGTATAAGATTTGATTTTATGAATTWAAAATTTGAAAAAACATCRTTTCTGCAAATCTRACATTTAAATATTCTAACATTCTGCTTTCTTTCATAGCTGAGTCTTGCCTTCGCTGCAGTTTTGCTGCTTGGTAAATTCATTGTTCACACATCAGTAACTAAATATGGCCGTGTTAAATTAACACYAATGATTTAACACTAAGCAGTTTTGAAAACCAACAGTGTTTAACACACCATGTTTGCTTTATATTTTATTTTGATAACTCAAAACATGATAGGACTGCAGAAAAAACTACTAACTTGCATTATTTGGATTTCTTTTTCCAGCTTCAGTTCCAGGTGAAGGAGGTAAGACAGCCTTCTGAATTCCTGTAAAAAGAACTGCATTGAAATTTTTATGTTTCTGTTTTGTCCAAAATTTCAAACAGTGTGACCAATTCACTCATTKTAACTAGAAGCATGTACTTGTTTTATTTATTTAAAAGTTTTAACCAAGTTTATTTTATTTCACATAGCATCACCGTGTGCAAATCCCACCTACGTTCGTAAGTGAAACATCTGAATTGGTTTCCTCCTTTTTTGCATCTAAAATCACATAGCTTTTATAAAATACACACACACACACA